TTTTTTTTTTTTTTTCCTTCCCCTCCCCCATGGGTTCCTGTTAAGTTTCTCAGGATCCACATAAGAGTGAAACCATATGGTATCTGTCTTTCTCTGTATGGCTTATTTCACTTAGCATCTCACTCTCCAGTTCCATCCACGTTGCTACAAAAGGCCATATTTCATTTTTTCTCATTGCCACGTAGTATTCCATTGTGTATATAAACCACAATTTCTTTATCCATTCATCAGATGAATGGATAAAGCTTAGCTACCTTTAAAGGATGTCCACATGACCAGTAGGAGCCACAGACCCCTATATGGTCCTGAGTATAGAACAATTCCCAAATTTAAAGAATGTACTTTGAAAACAAAATACATTTTCTTTTCTAAAAACCTTAGCATAAATTCAAGGTCATTCAGTATATGCCCCCTCCACCTCACCCTTGTCAAGTAGGCTTTATACTTTGTTCTCTATGGGTACAATATGGTGAATATGCCATGTTCTTTCATGACTTGGTGCCTTTGCAGGGTATGTACCATCTGCCCAAAGCGCCCTGCTCCCTCACTCTGTTAACCTACACTTCAGAATTCCTCTGGAAATAGGTCCTTGGAACCCTCTCACACCCAGTCTGGTTGAGGTGACTGCCCTTGGTTGGCATAGCAACAATGCAGAATATTTCAGTTTAACTCCTCCCCCATTACACATCCCATTAGTCTCTGAGAACCATTACAGCAAGGACCTTAACTTATTCATCTCTGTATTTCAAACACATAGTATAGTATCTGGCATACAGTAAATACCAATAAATGTTGAATGATTATTTTACATGAAAACTTCTAACGAGGCCAAGTTACTTAACAGTAATTAAATAACTCCTTAATAAATATACCGACAAATATTAGCAGCTTACCCTTTGAGGTCATTAATTAACTTGTTTTTTTCCTGGACTATTCGCTTGTGGTGCATTCGATGAAAATCACGTTCTTTTTGAGTTTTCAGCAGGTCTTCTCTAGCCTTGCTAAAAAATAATAATAATTTTAAAAATCACTAACTCCAAAAAAGTATCTGACAAAGTACAACATCCATTCATGGTAAAAAAAAAAAAAAAAAAAAAAAAAAAAAAAAAAAAAAAAAAAAAAAAAAAAAAAACTCTCAACAAAGTAGGTTTAGAGGATACATAAGTCAATATAATAAAGGCCATATATGAAAATCCACAGTTAATATTATCCTCAATGGAGGAAAATTAAAAGCTTTTCCTCTATAGTCAGGAACAAGATAGGGATGTCCTCTCTCACCACTTTTATTCAACAAGTACTGAAAGTCCTAGCATAGCAATCAGAAAATAAAAAGAAATAAAGGATATTGCAATTGGCAAGGAAGAAGTCAAACTTTCACTATTTGCAGGTGACATGATATATATGGAAAACTCAAAAGACAGCACCAAAAAAATATTAGAACTGATAAACAAATACAGTAAATTCGCAGGATCCAAAATCAACATACAGAAATCTGCTGCATATCCACACACCAATAATGAAGCAGCAGAAAGAGAAAATAAGGAATCAATCCCATTTACAAGAGCACCAAAAACATTAAGATGCCTAGGAATAAACCTAACCAAAGAGGTGAAAGACCTGTACTCTGAAAACTATAAAACACTAATGAAAGAAATTGAAGATGACACAAAGAAATGGAAAGACATTCCATGCATTCATGGATTAGAAGAACAAATATGCTAAAATGTGTATACTACCCAAAGCAATCTACACATTTAATGCAATCCCTACCAAAATACCACCATCATTGTTCACAGAAAAAAAATTCTAAAATTTGTACAGAACCACAAAAGATCCCAAATAGCCAAAGCAACCTTGAAAAAGAAAAGCAAAGCTGGAGATATCATAATTCTCGACTTCAAGTTATATTAAATCTTGTAGTGATCAAAACAGTATGGTACTTGGCACAAAATCAGACATATAGACCAATGGAATAGAATAAAACCCTAGTAGACCCAGCGTGTGGCCAACCTCATCTTTGACAGGAAAGAACATCAATGGAAAATAGACAGTCTCTTTAACAAACAATGAGACACATGGAGGTGGATGACATGCAGGAGGATTTGACTAGACCACTTTCTCACATTCACACAAATATTATAAATGAAATGGACTACAGGACCTAAATGTGAGACGGAAACCATCAAACCCTGGGAAAGGGAAAGACCTCTGACCTCAGCGTGGCAATCTCTTGACACACCTCCCCAAAGGCAAGGAATTAAAAGCAAAAATGAACTTCTAGGACCTTATAAAGAGATAAAAAAATTCTGCTGACAAAGGGAAACAACCAACAAAAACTAAAAGGCAACCAACGGAATGGGAAAAGATATTTTGCACAAATGACATATCAGACAAGGCCTAGTATCCAAAATCCCCTATGCTCACCAAACTCCACACCAAAAACAAATAACCCAGAAGAAATGGGCAGAAAACATGAATGGGCACTTCTCTAAAGTATCAGGATGGCTTAACAGGCTTTATGAAAAATCTCAAGTAACACACCATCAGGAAACCCAAATCAAACCACTCCAGATATCACATGCCAGTCAGGTGGCCCAGAAAATGAACAAATCAGGGAGACTATAGATGCTACAGTGGGGATGTGGAGAAAACGAGACCCTCTTTACTTTCTGTTGGTGGGAATGCAAATTGGTACCACTCTGAAAACAGTGGGGTTCCTCAAAATTACTCGCTCAGACCTACCCTATGACCCAGCAATAGCACTGCAAAATTTTACCCAAGGATACAGGGTACTGACATACGGGGCACCCAGCACTACACCCCAATGTTTATACTTTAGCACTTCAACAAGAGCCAAATGGAAAAAGAGCCTAAATGTCCATCGCTTTTATTGATGAATGAATAAAGGAGAATTGCAGCCAGTGTATATGCAACAGAAATTACTATGATAATGAAAAAGAATAATATATTGCTTTGTAGCAACGTGGATGGAACTATGGAGAGTGTTATGCTAAAAGTGGAAATAAACATACAAGAGGGCGAACAGATACCATATGGTTTCACTTATAATGGATCCTAGAAACAACAGGAACCCATGGGGAGGGAAAAGAAAAAAAAAAAAAAAAAGGTTAGAAGTGGAAAGAAAGAGCCAAAAGCACAGAGCTTAAATACAGAAAGAGAACAAACTGAGGGTTGATGGGGGTGGGAGGAGGGGAGGAGGGAGGGGTGGGTGATGGGTATTGAGGAGGCATTTTTAGGATAGGCTTTACTGGGTGTTGTATAAAAGTGTGACAATAAACTTCCATATACTTGAACTTTTTTTAATTATATAATTACTGGGTGCTCAGTCATTTAATAGTATCCAACTCTTGATTTTGGCTTAGGTTGTAATCTTACAAAAATTGAGGATTAAACCCCAAGGGGCGTCAGCAGACTCAGCAGGGGCATGCAGCCTGCCAAGTCCTCTCCTCTTCCCCTACCCCTGCTTTTTCTTGTATCTCTCAAAAATAATTTATTTATTTATTTATTTATTTATTTATTTATTTATTTTTAAAAATAAAATCATAAAAAAAACACTATACAACTTTTTTAAAATATATATCAGCTAGAACAATGAAAGCCCAGAAATGAACCCCCAATTTTATGGTCAATTAATCTCCAACACATCAGGAAAGAATATCCAATGGGAAAGAGACTGTCTCTTTGACAAATGGTGTTTGGAACAGGACAATTACATGCAAAAGAATAAAACTGGACCATTTTTATGCCATACACAAAAATAAATTTGAAATGGATTAAAGACCTAAATGTGAGGCCAGAAACCATAAAATTCCTATAGAGAACACAGGCAGTAACCTCCTTGACATTGGCTATAGCAACTTCTTTCAAGGTGTCTCCTGAGGAAAGGGAAACCAAAGAAAAAATAAACTATTGGGACTTCATCAAAGTAAAAAGCTTCTGCACAGCAAAGGAAACAGCAAAACTAAAAGGCAAACAACAGAAAGGGAGAAGATATTTGCAAATGACATATCTGAAAAAGGGCTAGTATTCAAAATGTATAAAAAATTTATAAAACTCAAAATCCAAAAATACATAATCAAGTTAAAAATGAGCAGGAGACATATTTTTCCAAAGAAGACATCCAGATAGCCAACAGATACATGAATAGATGCTCAATATCACTGATGATCAAGGAAATACAAATCAAAACTACAATGAGGGGGCACCTTGGCGGCTCGGTCAGTTAAGTGTCCAACTTTAGTTCATGTCATGATCTCACAGTACATGGCTCAGGCCCCACATGGGATTCTGCGTTGATGGCTCAGTCTGGAGACTGCTTCTGTGTCTCCTTCTCTCTGTCTCTCTGCTCCCCCGACTTGTGTTCTCTCTCAAAAATAAATAAACTTAAAAAAGAAACTATAATGAGGTATCACCTTACACCTGTCAGAATGGCTAAAATCAACAACACAAGAAAACAACAGATGTTGGTGAGGATATGGAGAAAGGGGAACGCTCTTGCACTATCAGTAGGACTGGTACAGCCTACTATGGAAAACAGTATGCAGGTTTCTCAAAAAGTTAAAAATAGAACTACCTTATGATCCAGCAATTGTACTACTAGTGTTTACCTAAAGTATACAAAACTACTAATTCAAATGGATACATGCACCCTGATGTGTATAACAGCATTATCTACAATAGTCAAATTATGGAAACAGCCCAAGCATCCATTGATTAGTAAATACATAGAGAAGATGCAATATATACATACAATGGAATATTACTCAGCCCTAAACACGAATGAAATCTTGCCATTCACAACAACATGAATGGAGCTAGGTGAAATAAGTCAGAGAAATACAAATACCATATGATTTCACTCATGTGAAATTTAAGAGATAAAACAAAGGAGCAAAGGGGAAAAAAGAGTCATGTAACTATAAAGATCAAACTGATGGTTACCAGAAAGGAAGTCATTGGGGATGGGTTAAATAGTGATGGAGATTAAGGAGGGTAGTTGTAATAAATACTGGGTGTTATATGAAAGTGTTGAATCTCTATATTATACACCTAAAATTAATATCACACTATATATTAACTGGAATTTAAATTAAAACGTCTAAAAATATCACTGCTAATTCCTTCCTGAAAAAAAAAAAAAAACTATTTAGTAATCAGTTCAAACCCAGTATTGAGCAATTCTAAAGATAATTAAAGAAATAAAGATTCCATTATAATTCACATTGAAGGATTCTCACCAACATAGTGTATATAGGGTTGGGAGATGAACCGCCACCACCTATAGCTTCAAGAATAGTCATTCATATTTCATTTAAGTAAAAGAAAATTAAATGTATGCTGCCAAAATAATTTACAATTCATCTACTTACAAAAAGAATTGGTTTACAGAATTGAAATACATATTTAAAACAGGATAATTCAAAATAATTACAAATAAAATATTTTACCAAATTTAATTCTAAATGTGCTTGAATATATGGTTAAAAGACAATGGTATTCGGCTACTTAGTTCTGATAATTGTGAAAAAGAAAGCATATATGTTCTGGAAAACCAAGATTTTATTTTGGAAGTGCATATGAGACATATATACCACCTGCAGATCATTTTAGTAAAATAATTGGTAACTTGATAAAAAAGGCTCTTTAGTATCAGTATTGTAATAAGAAACATTCTTCAACTGGATATACCTTCTGCAAACCTGTGATAGAAAGCAAGCAAGACTATTCTTTCTGAGCCTGGGCTGTAGGTAAAAAATTAATAGGAATATTTCACCTACCTCGATAATACATTAGTTTCAATCTGATAATGTAAAATATAATTATAATGAAAAAGTAGCTATCTAACAGTCTTAGTTAACTGAAAAACTAACCTAGTTAACTACTGCACTGAGACTCCCATGTTCTGAAGAATGGGTGGACTGAATTAGAGTTCTTACAATGCACTAGAGGTCAGAATGTAATAAATCTACTTCTTTGTCTT